TGTCTGTCTGGCGAGCGCACATGCCCTATAGCAAAAAAATTAAAAAATTAAAAAAATAAAAAACCTCTCAAAAAAAATTGACATTAGCAAAGTAAAAATTCCAAAGCACCTTACCGATGATTACTTCAAGAAAAAGAAACTACGGAAGCCCTGACACCAGGAAGGTGAGATCTTCGACACAGAGGAGAAATACGATATTTCAGAGTAGCACAAGGTTGACCAGAAAGCTGTGGACTCACAAATTTTACCAAAAATTGAAGCTGTTCCTCAGCTCCAGGGCTCCCTGCGATCCGTGTTTGCCCTTACAAATGGAGTCTATCCTCACAAATTGGTGTTCTAGAATTTTTGGCCAAGAACCTAATTAAATAACTGATCATATATATATATATATTAAAAAAGAGTTGGTTTTCAAGTGCCACTTTACTATCAAAATTTCAACCCGACTTATTAGCAAAGAATCAACTTACAATTTAGAGTTCAATTTTTTTTTAAATGTCATCTGCCGACCCTGTCGGAACATTCTCTGGTCAAATTTAAATAAATTAAATTAAATTAAATTAAATTAAATTAAATAATTCTTAAAAGAAAAAAAAGCTGTCAAAATTTTAATTAATCCAGACATTAATAGCAAGTTAAGTTCTCACTACAAAGCTCATGCTTCCAAAAATGGTATATTTTTGAGCAAATGACTACCTTTCCCATTTATCAAAATAGCCTTATTAAAACTTAAAAACAGGAAGGGCCGGAAGGTGGCATGGTGGTTAAGATACTGGACTCCCACGTGAGTGCCATGACCTGGTGACTTGAAAATTATGCTGGGCACGTGTATATGCCCAAAATTCCAAAATGAGAATAAAAGAGAAGAGACGGCAGTGTGTAGAAAAGACTTAAAAAAATTTTTTAATTGAAAATATATAGTTCCCTTAATTTCACCTTGGCTGTTAAAAATCACTTAAACTTATTTCAAGTTATCTGTGTAATAATTTTTATTGAACCACCTGCTTATACTACAGCTTTCTATTTTGTTTTTTCACTTAAAATATTGGGTCATTGGAAAAGTCATGACCCATAAAAAAAGTATTTTTCTAAGCAAAAATGCATCATGACTTTTCCAGCAACCCCAATGGCTTTTTTTTTTTTTAAGTGTTTTTATTTTTATTTATTTATTTTTTTTTAAGTGAGAAATTTTTGCTATAGGTCATGTGTGCTCACCAGAGAGACAGCAAAAGAGAAATCATCTCCCACCGGAGACAGCCACTCCGTAATCCCTTCTCCTCTATTCTCCTATCTGGATCTTGGGCACAAACACACACATGCCTGGCATTTTCTTTCTTTTTCTTTTTTAGAAATTATTTTTTAAATTTGCTTATTTATTTTGGAGAGGTTTTTGCTATAGGGCACGTGAACTCACCAGAAAGAGAGAGACAGAGAGACAGAAAGGGAGAAATCACCCCCAGGGGATGGCCACGCCGCAATCCCTTCTCCATTCTCCTTTCAGGATCTTGGGCACGCACACACACGCACTCGGTGAGTTTAAGCCACAGGGCACAGGACTCAATCGACTACATGGGAGTCCAGCAACAGAGCCATTACACTAACTGCTGGTCCCTATTTTACTTAATTTTTATTATCATTATTTTTCTTTAATTTGATCAGAGAGAGAAACAGAAAGGAAAAGTGAGAAAGCAAGACACAGGATCCAGGACTCATACTGTGGTTGACCATGTCTTCCAGCATGAGTTTTAAGTTGCCAGGTCCAGGACTCAAACCACAGATGACTACATGAAAGTCCAGCAACATAACCATTATATCACCTGAAGAAATTTTTGCTATAGAGCATATACGCTCACTGGAGAGACAGAGAGAGAAAGTGAGAAATTACAGTGGGATGGCCACACCGCAGTCCCTCCTCCTCCATTATTCTCTCAAGATTCTGGCCACACATGCACATGCAACCAGGATGAGTGTCAAGCTACTGGGTCCAGGACTCAAACCCCAGCTGGCCATAAGAGTTCAGTACCTTAACCACTATGCCACCTGCTGGCACCACTATAGCTTAGATTTACTGACGGTGTGAAGGCTCATAACCTCCACATGAGTAAGGAAAAAGCTTTTCACCACCCCGAAAGGGCTGTATTTTCAAACCCTTACACCATCTTCCTGTAGCACGAGGTCAAGCCTATCAGAAATGAAGCACTGGCACCTCTCTCCTCCCAGTGGCCTCAGGTGGGCTGGGCTAGCCCTGCACAGCTC